GTATTATCTATTCGAGAAATCAAAGCAATTTAGTAACAAGATCCAGTTCCTCAGTCTTTATATCTATTATTTAACATGTATTGTTTAAATGTCCGAATCACGGCACGGGCCAGGATCGCTGTCCCTCCATCAGGCAGGCCCGGCACACTGCCAGTGAATATTCGAACGAGCGAGCTGCTGCTTCTGTCAGGACTTATTGACAGTCCTCTCTTCAATAGGGCCTGCATGGCCCATGTTTTTTTTTATCTGCCGCAATGTAGTTTTGAGATCGAAATATCTGGATTTCTTGCTTCTTTCCCATGTCTCTTTCCACAGAACACGGAAGATAAGATGAACACTGGAGACAGAATTAAAAAACATTTTTTAGAGCCCAGCTGCCATAATATGACCGTGGCCCAGTATAGGGGCTTAGAAGCAAACATGCTTTACTAGTTTCCTACGACTGCTGCAACAACTTGCCACAAATGTTGCATTTTTAAACAATACAGATTTATTATCTTAGAGTTCTCAAGGTCAGAAGTCCTACAATCTATGTATCAGCAGAGCTGTCTATAATTTTGGAAACTCTTAGGGGAAAATCTATATTCTTGCCTTGTCAGCTTCTAGACACCACTTTCGTTCCTTGGCTCATGGCTCCACTGTGCATTTTCCTGGCTAGCAGTAGAGCATCCTCCAGTCTCTCACTCACTGCTTCGATCGTAAAGCCTTTTATAGCACCGGCCCTCTTGCCTCCCTTCTATAAAGATTCGTCATTAAATTGGGTCCACGCAGATAAACCAGGTCAATCTCCCCACCTCAATGTCCTGTCCGTATATAACAGAAACATTTTGAGATATTAATTGAGATGCATGCCCATCTTTTTATGACCACCCCCTTACAGATGCCATTAAAGAGCACCTATAACCCCTAATGGAGAGGACAATAAAGAAAAATTGTATTAAAACTTTGGATTTGAGTTCCAATACATGTTCTTAAAAATCACAGCAGAAAATGCTAGGACTAAAGCGTTTCAGAAAGAAAGGTTTTGTTTCATTTCTTTCATATTGTTGTTTTAACTCTAAAATTGCAGAACTCAATTTCAAATATCAGAGAGACAAAACAGTGTCTCATCACAGATCAATGCACAGTAGGTTTTCATATCCAAAGAACAAGTGGGGATTCATAAGTTAGGTAAAACCACAGTGGATGAGATCTGGAAACTCTCAGCCACATATATTGTTCTGACGCCAGAGATACACACCTGGTCCCAGAGTCCTGGGACATGTTTGGTTTCAAGGACTGGAAGAAAAGAGACAGAGAGGAATCTTTCTGAACTGATGGAGTTTTTATGCCATAGGAAACTAACAGTTTATCTTTGATAATAAGTATAAATTAACCAATATAAATAAATAATTGATAATAAATTACTACAGTTAAGCAAAATTGGAAGACTGAGAGCTGAGCCCTCTGTAGAATTTCACTAACATTATTTATTTATTTATTCATTTGGCTGAGCTGAGTTTTACCTCCTGGTGCTGGAACACTTATTTTTTAAGTCACTGAAGAATTCTATGAAGCAGATGTGATTTTCTAGTTTTTAAAATTTTTTATTGTATTTTTTCCATTACCATTTAGTCCCCTTATCCCCCCTCCTCCACACCCTTCAATCACCACACTGGTGTACATGTCCATGAATCCTTTTTCCTTTTTTCCACTGCAATTATTATTTCAATGAAAACTTAGAGAGGTAATGCAGCTAGTAAGTTATGTTGGGAAATAATGCTCCATGGATGCTGATTTTCTGCACTTTTTGTGGAGAGGCACCGATAACTTCTGTCCCAGATCATTTATTTAAGGGTGTTGGTAGAGCAAACAGACTTGGAAGATAGAAATAGTGTCTTCTTCCAAGACCAGAGGCAGATTTGTTTCAGACCATGAATATAAGGATAATGTTTCCCTACAGGGCAAAAAATGGGCAGATTTGACAATAACCACTTATAAGATAGGGGCTTCCTAAGCTCTTCATTTCTCACAGTGACACAAACCTGTTGTGCATGTAGCATCCACCTGTGCCTGTCTGCATGGCACCTATTGGACTTGGGGTTGAGAAGAACTGATGGACTCATTAAGTTCGTTATGCTTGCTGTGCCTTGCATAATAAATCATCTCCCTTCAGTCCTAGCTGGTGTAGCTCAGTGAATTGAGTTCTGGCCTATAAACCAAATGGTTGTGGGTTCAATTCCAAGTCAGGGCACATGCCTGGGTTGTGGGTCAGGTCTCCAGATGGGGGTGTGTGAGAGGCAACCACACACTGATGTTTCTTTTCCACCCTTTTCCCGCCCTTCTCCTCTCTCTAAAAATAAATAAAGTAAATCTTAAAAAAAGTCATCTGTCTCTGAATCAAGAGTTTTATATCTTTTTCCAGTGTCTCTGACACTGTGCCATGTTAACTTGTCAGCTTAAAAGAAGGGTAAAATTTTGAATTCTTCCCAGTTCTTGAAGATGTTCTTGCAGTTCTTGAATATTAGAACTTGGGCACTCTGACTCTAGAGCCCTGATTTGAAACCAAGAATCTGAATATCACACAATATCTACTGAGGGAGCCAGCTAAATGGAAACTAGCATAAGTACAATGTATAAACTTGCCAGTTTCCTTAGTAAGATAAAATTGAGTTCCCACATGTCAATAGAATTTTTGTTTTACTCCATAAGTCACCCTATTAATATCTTTGTTTTCCAAAGTATAGTGGGCAAAGCACTACTCCAGAAGGATGACCCTCAATTAACCTGCACAAATAAATTGTAGGGGACAAGCAACCTTGGTACAATTATTCTTCTTAAAATTCCCAATACATTAGCATTTAAAATTCCTTAAAATCCTATGACAAAAAAATTATTCTATTTCTTTCACTTCAAATTCCCCAGACTAATTGATAATAAAACTTCTACTAGCATCCTATGAATGTAGTATCCCACTGAACACATTCTGAGAATCGCTGATTGGGATGGATGTATCCTGTGGGCCTATTCTCATTGTTATTGCAAAGCTTTGAATAACTTCTGGTTTAAATGATTGCACCTGTACTACCAGAGATGAGAAAAGTTACATGAGTTCACACTTGGGCTGCATCAGTTACTCCAAACCTTGGATTTGCAATAAAATCATCAAAGTGATGCTAAGAAGTTCATGTTTTTAAAACTCCCTTGGCTAGTCTAATGTTCAGTCAGAATTAAGTACAACTTTGATGGCACAGCAAAGCTGGAGCTCACTTCTGGAGAAATCATAAAGAATGGAAGTCTGGAACCCATCTTATTCCGTCAATATGGTAGCTACTCACTACATGTCACTGTATAAATTTTAGCTTAAATGAAGGTAATTAAACAAAATAAAAAATTCTGTCTTTTAGTCATTCTGGCTATATTTCACATACTCGATAGCACAAGGAACTCGTGACTACATTCTTGACCAACACACATATAAAATGTTTCCATCATCACAAGAAATCCTATTGCTCAGTGCTGTCATGGAAGGTCCACAGTTCTCTCCCTGCATGGCTATAGCCAACCTTAGGGGCTCTAGGTTTGATTGTACTAAGGCAGCCAGTGTTCTTCACTAAGGGGAAACAAGGGAGATGTGGGTAGAAAGTTGTATGATATGTGTGTGGTATATATTTATGTGGGTGTATATGGTTGTACACATGTGAGCATATATATGTTGTGGGAATAATAGTGCTAGTTTCACTTGTTCGGCCCTATGAAATAAAACTGTAGAATATTATAGAGATGATGTAAGAAAATATAATGAAGGTCATCCTTAAAAGTTAAGCTATAAAAATTTTTCCAATTAATGAGTGCTTATTGTCTTAATATTACTTCCCAAAAGTATTTTCTGTAATGTCATTATTATTAATTTTTCCCCTTAACTTTCCTAGTTTCTCTGGTTCTTGTCCTGGGATGGACAAGAACCAGAGAAACTTTCTTCCCCATAACTAGGGAAGAAATTATGACTAACAGTTTTATCAACTATCTTCTAAGATAGGGCTACTAACTACAAGATCTGAAACCTAGATTTTTCTTCAATATCCTTTTTACAAAGGCTGGAAAAATATCTTAGGAAACAAATAAAAATAGGCAAAAGAAAATGACTTAAGCTATTCAGTGAAAACTGTGCAGATAAAAGAGTGTCTCTCTAAAATTTTATGATTATCAAGCGTGTGTCATTTAATGAATGACAAAGTGTGTGAAAAAAAAACATGCCATTTAGAAAGTGTCACTTAACTATAGAGAAGGGAAGTTCACAGTTTTCTTTCTCTGGGGAACTATTGGAGTAGTAAAACTACTCTGTATGATACTATAAGGTGTTTGCATGTTGGTATATATTTGCCTCAAACCATAGAACGTACAAAATCAAGAGTGGTTCCCAATGTAACTGTGGACTTTGGGTGATACTAATGTGTCATTGTAGGTTCATCATTTGTAATACAAATATCACTCTAGCATGAGATTTTGATGATAAAGGACATTACATATGTGGAGCAGGGAGTATATGGAACCTTTTATTTAATTTTGCTGTGAACCCAAATCTGTGGTAAAAACAATGCCTATTAAAATATGCTTTCACAAAACTTTTTGTTATTATTCTCATTAGAACCACACAAATTCAGTGAGATAGTTGATCGCCATATATACATATGCATATATATTAAAATTTCCATGTATAAAATTTAATATGTATTCATTTACTTATACTTTATATATTTTGATGCTTGTGTATATAATTTTAATTTATATATAAATTAATATAATATATTTTATAAACATTTAAAAGATAAAACACTATGAATTTGGGGAGTAGTGAATGAAAAACTTTTGTTTGGAATATATAGAGAATTATATGTTTAATAGTGTTTAGAAATAAAATAAAAATAATAGACTGGCATGAGTTCAGACCAGAGAGATGGCAAGAAAAATTGACATTATATTTTACTTTAAGTATATTACATTGCTATTAAAATATAGTAAACATTACCTGTCAGGGGAGATTCTATGACCATGAAGGTGGTTTTCCCAGGGTGAGGCTCACCCATTGCCCTCCAGTTGTGCTGACCCCTGTGATTTCCCCAAATGTGGGAAATTCAACTGCATGATTTGCGGTAGTGGGGGACTGCATTTGTACTCTTCCCTGGAAAAAAATATATAGTAAACAATATCACAAACTTACCCATTTTTAGGAGTTTCCAGATAAAGGAACTACAGACTGAAACAGATGTGGTTGAATTAACCATGTCTCTCCAAAGTGAACTTGTAGATAAAATTTCCCAAACGTCATTGAGAAGAAACCATGTAGTGAAGAGAATAATTTTATTACATATTAAATGATGACACACTCCGAAGTTCAGTGCATAGTAACAGTAACAGGTAAAGGGTATATTTGAAAATAGATGGAAACTTACTGTAATATAAAACAATCTGTCTCTTCCAAGTTCTGAGTTTTTCTGGAAAGTAACTAAGTGTTGTTAGTCTACGCACATGAAAACATACATCTCAAATCTCTACTAGCTCAAGTTACTGATATTACTTATTGTGAATATTTCTGCTCTGTGTAATATATTGACATTACCTTGAAAGATTTTCTGTTTGTGTTCTATTTTTTTTTTAGCCCAGGCAATGTAGTTTCAAGGGTTACATTTGCTCTCTACCTGGTGTGCAACTGCAGGCTTCTGTAGGTAAGTTTACCCTTTCTCTTGTCCTCTGCAGCCATAAAAACCAAACCCCCCTCACTCAGCTCATAATCCAGCTGACCAGGTCCCCCACCCTCCACCTACTTTACCACCCTCACTAAACCACAGTCTTCCTTTTTCATAAACATAAAATTCAAGACAGGGAACCTGTCAGTGATTTTGCTCCTGCATCAACATGAAGCCTACACATTAAGTATGATATAAAGAACTCTAAGTGAATTTATTTACTCTATTTTTTTGGAAAAGATCTGCTGCTAAAGGTCTCTGCCTACGCATACAAAATTCCCACAACTGTAAACGGGAAGAAACAAATGTCAGGCACATCACGCCCAGCTGAGAAACCAAATGTTAAGCAGGGACAATGGAGGAGTTGAGCTTGGCAGTTAGCACTGAGGCCAAGTAATGACTGCTATTTGGAATAGTAAACATTCTAATGAGCCTGGGAAGTTAGAGGATTCCAAATGACAAAGAAGATTGGCATCAGTGCCCACACTGTAGTCACATGATAGCCCACAGTTTAAAGACAAAAGAGGAAAAAATGCATTTTGTAGTCTTCATCAAAGGAAGGAATAGAAAGATAACATTTTAATTTTCCTTATCCAAGGCTAATAAATTAATAGTACAATTAATAATAATTTGTGCAAAATGCAGTAAATGCACATGCTGGTCAAGAGTAAAAAGTGCCCATGTAAACCGCTGAGTCTAAGGGGTGTTTGGAGGTTTACAAAGCCACTGGCTGCGTGGACAGTGTGCCTGTAGCTTGGAAACTGGAGGTCTGGTCTTGGGAAAAACTACACTCTGCGTCAGCTGTGGTGCACCCTGTGACATCAGGGATGACAGATTATGTGCTGACTCCCTCTTCTCTTTCACCAGTTTGAAGTTCATGGGGAAAAAGTGAGGAGAAGGGGGAGGATCGGAATTCCTGGCTATTCTATGTTCCATGAGCAGACAACACAGTTGCTCTCTGTAGTCCAGGAAAAAGGGTTTGGAAATGAACTCCCCATTTTTTTTACCTGACATCTATTCCTTGTTCACAGTGTGGGCTCTCAACCCCATCTCTGTATCTCCAAATATTGTATAAGAATTGTAAGCATTTTGGCATTTTTATATCAGTATTCTTAAATTAAGTTTCCAGCATCTGTATATGTCTCCCAGCAATTTTATTTGTAGACAAGGAGAAATCATTTTATTAAAATGTTAATAGATATTTAATGACTTAAAATAATGGCCCAGGCACATAACATATCTTTATGAACTAATCTCTTTAAAACAGGTCTATTTTCATAAATGATTGAATTCTTTAATTAATTCTTACCTTCTCTACATTCAGTATAACCCTAAATATAAGGATTTTGAAAAACAAAGGGTAATAAATATTTTTATTGGCTAATCCTGTGGTAGCTGACAATTAAGAAACATTTCAAATCAATTTACCCTAATATTTGATGCCATTATAGTAAAACATTTGAAACTTAGCTAAATGAATTTTCTTAAAATACATCTGTTTAATAGCAGCTAAGCCTCTGTAGCTTTCCAAGGTGAAATGGTTTAAAAGTCATTTGACAAACATTTGCAGAGGACACATTAAGCATCATAAGATTCTAAATGAGAAAGAAAGTTTATTGATCCTGCTTTCCAATACAATAAAATTCAATAGTCAATTTGGCATAGTATAGAATGAGATAGGCAGCATAGCAAAAACATAAGCAAAGATTTCAGGAAAACTAGAAGAGGAGAAAATCAATGAGAAGGGGAAGGGCAATTAAATAAATGCTAGTTGATCTGGACTTTAAAAAATAAATTAATCTTTGGCAAGCAAAGGAAAGAAGAATTTACTATAGACACACACTTCTATGGAGATAAGGAAGTAGTCCCTTATGCACAAAAACAAGATCAAAACTAGCAATATGGTAAACAGCATTCAGCTCCAAGTGTAGAGTCTGTCACAGATTACACATTTCCTGTTTCTTGTCTCAGCTTTGTTTTTCTCCATAGCACATTTTCTACTCAAATATGTTTGATAACTTACATATTCATATTATTGTCTGACTCTCAGTGTGACAGGATGGCTAACAGTGTGTGGGTATATTCACACTCGCACAAATGCTTTCTATTCTTGCTTGAATTATAGTTTGACTGCATTTTCCATTGTTCTTTATAATTAGGTGTTCCCATGTGAATAAGCTCTAGTTATGGTCAACCTTAGGGTGTGCCGAGACCCAGAAAAATATTTTTGGGGGCCCTCATTTATTTAAATGATTTGTTAAATATGTATTACAGAATTCATGGGCCCATGTGAGTTGTAGTGACTTATCAATGAAAATTTAGAATAATGGATGAGAAGAGTTACTTCTGTATTGATTTACTGTCCAATAAATGCCAGATAGCTCAGCTGCACAGAGCATTGTTCTGATATGCAAAGATTGTGGGTTCAATTCTTGGTCAGGACACCTACAATAATCAACCAATGACTGCATAAATCAAAGTGACGAAGAAATAGCAAATCTCTCAGAGGCACAGTTTAAAACACTGGTCATCAGCTTCCTCACAGATCTGGTGGACTATAGCCACAAATTAAAGAAACATATGAAGGCTAAATTAAGGGAAATGAATGGAATTCCACAGGAAACCCATAGAGATGAAAAAAAAAACTGGGACTCAAATCAATGGAGTGAACCAGAAGGAAGAAAAAAATGATCAATCAGAAAGGAATGAAGATATAAGAATTCAGAAAAATGAGGAGAAGCTTAGGAACCTCCAGGACATCTATAAATGCTCCAATATCCGAATTATAGGGGTACCAGAAGGGGGGAAAGACACAACCACCAGTGGAAAAACTATTTGAACAAATAATAAAAGAAAATTTCCTCAATCTGGCAAAGGAAACAGACTTCCAAGAAATCCAAGAAGCCCAGAGAGTACCAAAAAAGTTGGACTCAAGAAGAAACACACCAAGGCATATCATAATTACATTAGCCAAAATTAAAACGAAGGAGAGAATCCTGGAAGCAGCAAGAGCTAAGGGGACAATCACCTACAAAGGAGTCCCCATCAGGCTGTCAGCAGATTTCTCAAAAGAGACCTTACAGGCAAGAAGGGGCTGGAAAGAAATATTCCAAGTCATGAAATCTAAAGACCTACAACCAAGATTGCTCTACCCAGCAAAACTTTCATTTAGAACGGAAGGACAGATAAGGTGCTTCTCAGATAAGACCAAATTCAAGGAGTTCATCATCACCAAGCCCTTATTATATGAAATGTTAAAGGGACTTATCTAAGAAAAAAGAAGTTAAAGAAACATGAACAGTGAAAGGACAACAAACTCACAGTTATTAACAACCACACCTAAAACGAAAGCAAACTAAAAGGACAGCTAGATCAGGAGTGGAAACATAGAAATGAAGATCTCAAGGAGTGTTAGCAACAGGGGAGTGGGAGGAGGAGACGGGGGGAGAAGGTACAGAAAACAAGTAGCATAGACAGTAGATAGAAAATAGATGGGGGGGCAAGGATAGTATGGGAAATATAGAACCTAAAGGACTTGAGACACATGGACATAAGCTAAAGGGGGGTAATGGTGGGGTTGGGGGGGCAGGGTGGAGGGGAATGAAGGGGGGAATAGAACAACTGTAACAGCATAAACAATTCAAAAAAAATAAATAAATTTATTAAAAAAAAATTCTACACCTAAAAAAAAAAAGTGGAACAATAGATTTATGTTTCTCTCTCTCCAAACTCAGTCAATAAATTAAAAAATTAAATTAAATAAAATAAATGCACACAAATGTTCTCCACAGTGTGCAGACACCCTTTCTTCCTGCTAAGATTAAGAAACCTTTCTGGATTCTTCATTGTGAAATACGATGCTCCAGGCTAATTTCTTTATTTTCTATATGAAATAAGTAGTCACGCTATTATTACTAATAATGCATGGGTGTTTGGAATCTGTTTCTATTCAAACTCTATATATCCTCTTGCCTCTGCAGGTCCTAATACCATTTATATAACGCTGATTGCATCATTATCCGACACTGCATTATTCATCATGCTGCCTGAGATTACCAGCTTTCAGTGAATTTCAGAGAGATTCTTATTGTGCTTCATTGGTGATGACCCCAAATGCAACCATTATCCAGAGAATGCAGACAAGTGTGAAAGATCATTCATCTTCTGTTCACCTTAAAGTTACCATTTAGAGAGTATAATAGTACATCTTCCAAACACATATTCTCTTTAATTCTCTAAGCCACAGCATTATATTCTTGAAATGTGATCTCTTTCAATGGCAGTTACATCACTGCTCTCCACATACCACCCCCAGTGGAGAGGAAAGATGAGAACAGAGGAGGGGCATAGAGGTGGACCAAGAAGAGCAGCTACCTCTATATAAGAAGTGCCCATCTGTCCTCTGGTACGGCTGAAGACTAACTTGGATGAGCACAGT